AAATTAAGATATTTTTGATGGAATCTGAGAGCTGTCTGACCCTGCATAGACAGCAATGCAACAGAAATGTTCCCAAGTCCAGAGACGTAGCAAGGACATCTGTAAAATAATCCACGTGACTTCAGTGGCTCAACCGCAATTATACGAAGCTACGAGAATACTTTTTTTAAACAGCGTATGCTGTTCTGTGTCAGCTGCGTCACGCCGGATTTGTTTCCTACGTTGTTGTGATTTGATCTGAACGGAAACAGCGTATCCGCGTGACGCATACGCTGTATACGTCTGTTAGCAAGTTTGGACAGCTTTTTTCCTTTAATAAATGAAATCATGCATTTTGTATTTACTTGCATTATCTTTGTGTAATATTAAAATGAGTTTGATGACCTGAATTTTTAAGTGTGACAAATATGCAAAAAATAAAAAAAACAGGAAGGTGCAAAAACTTTTTCACAGCACTGTATATTTCAGCAAGTTGTCAAGGCAACATTTCTCATTTTAATTTAGTTTAACTTGATGTTCCAAAATAATTAAAACTGAAACTGAAATAAAAATGAATAAAAACTATAGAGGCATTTAAAAAAAAAAAAGACAAAACACGACAAAATTACTCAATTTAAATGAAAACAGAAAATATACAAATTACATAAATTATTTAAATTATTAATAAAGACTCTTAATAGTATCTCATTGATACTAAAATAAAACTGATAAAAGGACATACATTTTGCATAAATAAAATTAAGCCTATTGTAGAAATATTACAAATACCTTAATCCAAAAAATAAATAAATAATAGTATTTTTTGTATTTTGGTAGTATGTTGTTTTTAATTTATGCTGATTTACATAATAATTTAAAAAACAAATGTGAAAATCTTTATAGCAATGAGCAATAATTTGTAGGCAAAAAATGGTTAAATAATATCAAAATCCAACAGGGGGAAAAAAAAAAGTAATTACATTCAGTTGCAATAACTGTTAGAAAACTGAGGAAGCACATTGAGTAAAAATGACATTGAGTTTCTTTTTGTCATCACCAGGGGTCACTGCACCACTCATAGACACGTCCGAGGAAAGCCAGTCCCATTGGCTGCTGCTATTAATCTTAATGTTGATAATCTTGTTCATGGCTGGATTCTGTATGCTGATGAAAAACGGGGCAAAGAAAACCTTTTTAAAATGGCATGGTATGATATAAAGTCTAATATGCAATGGATCTTTTGAATGCTTCAGCATACAATAGGCTACAAATGAACACAAATAACACAAATCTGCAATGATACTGTGTTTGTCAGCAGTAATTGTCTAAAACCAAGAAACTCCTTTTGAAACACAGTACTGTATTTTCATGTCTAAAGGATGGAGATTTACTGCTGATCACAGAACCGTGCTTCACTGAAAGATACGCATGACAATCGCAGCTTCTGTCGAATCGTGATCTCGATTCCATTTCGATTTATCGTGCAGCCCTAGTTCCAAGTTTTCTCCATTTGTGGATAATGGCTCTGACCGTGGTTCGCTGGAGTCCCAAAGCCTTAGAAATGGCTTTATAACCCTTTCCAGACTGATACATGTCAACTATTTTGTTTCTCATCTGTTCTTGAATTTCTTTAGATCGCAGCATGATGTGCTGCTCTTTAACGGGATAGTTGACCCAAAAATGAAAATTCTGTCATTAATTACTCATCCTCATGTCGTTTCAAACATTCGTTCATCTTCGGAACACAAATTAAGATATTTTTGATGGAATCTGAGAGCTGTCTGACCCTGCATAGACAGCAATGCAACAGAAATGTTCCCAAGTCCAGAGACGTAGCAAGGACATCTGTAAAATAATCCACGTGACTTCAGTGGCTCAACCGCAATTATACGAAGCTACGAGAATACTTTTTTTAAACAGCGTATGCTGTTCTGTGTCAGCTGCGTCACGCCGGATTTGTTTCCTACGTTGTTGTGATTTGATCTGAACGGAAACAGCGTATCCGCGTGACGCATACGCTGTATACGTCTGTTAGCAAGTTTGGACAGCTTTTTTCCTTTAATAAATGAAATCATGCATTTTGTATTTACTTGCATTATCTTTGTGTAATATTAAAATGAGTTTGATGACCTGAATTTTTAAGTGTGACAAATATGCAAAAAATAAAAAAAACAGGAAGGTGCAAAAACTTTTTCACAGCACTGTATATTTCAGCAAGTTGTCAAGGCAACATTTCTCATTTTAATTTAGTTTAACTTGATGTTCCAAAATAATTAAAACTGAAACTGAAATAAAAATGAATAAAAACTATAGAGGCATTTAAAAAAAAAAAAGACAAAACACGACAAAATTACTCAATTTAAATGAAAACAGAAAATATACAAATTACATAAATTATTTAAATTATTAATAAAGACTCTTAATAGTATCTCATTGATACTAAAATAAAACTGATAAAAGGACATACATTTTGCATAAATAAAATTAAGCCTATTGTAGAAATATTACAAATACCTTAATCCAAAAAATAAATAAATAATAGTATTTTTTGTATTTTGGTAGTATGTTGTTTTTAATTTATGCTGATTTACATAATAATTTAAAAAACAAATGTGAAAATCTTTATAGTAATGAGCAATAATTTGTAGGCAAAAAATTGTTAAATAATATCAAAATCCAACAGGGGAAAAAAAAAAAAAGTAATTACATTCTGTTGCAATAACTGTTAGAAAACTGAGGAAGCACATTGAGTAAAAATGACATTGAGTTTCTTTTTGTCATCACCAGGGGTCACTGCACCACTCATAGACACGTCCGAGGAAAGCCAGTCCCATTGGCTGCTGCTATTAATCTTAATGTTGATAATCTTGTTCATGGCTGGATTCTGTATGCTGATGAAAAACGGGGCAAAGAAAACCTTTTTAAAATGGCATGGTATGATATAAAGTCTAATATGCAATGGATCTTTTGAATGCTTCATCATACAATAGGCTACAAATGAACACAAATAACACAAATCTGCAATGATACTGTGTTTGTCAGCAGTAATTGTCTAAAACCAAGAAACTCCTTTTGAAACGCAGTACTGTATTTTCATGTCTAAAGTGCAGTGTAGCGGCTATAAGTGGCCTGGAATCCACCCAGATTGCTTCTTACAGTAAAGCGCATTGCATTGTCTCACGTGTTTTAATTCCCATAAGGTCAGACTCAACATAAACATTCACAGTGTTTCAGAATGACATGCATTTAACACAACCTGAGAAACCACAGAACGCCTAGGCACGCAACATACAGTTCACACAGTCGCTGTTGCACCTACGTGAGCTGCTCACACTGTCTGACATATGCCAGCTTTGACTTATTTCTTGTTTTCATTTTAGGTTTAATAAACAGAGGACATGTAAGTACTTTTGTGACTGCATGTCACAATAAATTAAATTAACTTGATTTAGTTAATATGTCTAAAGTGTTAAAGCAATTCTTCACATAAAATTGAAAATTTGCTAAACATTTACTCTCCCTCAGGCCATAAGAGGTAGAGGAGTTTGTTTCTTGATGGGAACAGATTTGGAGAAATGTAGCATTACATCACTTGCGCACCAATAGATCCTCTGCAGTGAATGGGTGCCGTCAGAATGAGAGTCCAAACAGCTGATAAAAACATCACAATAATCCACACAACGTCAGTTCTTGTAAAGACAAAAGCTGTGTGTTTGTAATAAACAAATGTATCAATAAGATGTTTTAACTTCAAACTGTCACTTCTGGCCAAAAATTTTTTACATAATCGATAATAATGAGTGAAAAAGTAAAAAAGTCCATCCCTTGCCGCCTTCTCACACCGAAATCCATTGACATATTTGTTTAGAACTGTTTTTGCTTGTAAACGGTGCTTGATCTCTGCATATTTCTCACCTGATTCAGATTTTTTCACTGTAGAAAGCAATAATATAGAAAGAGCACTTGATTGATTGATTTGTTTCTTACAAACATGCAGCCTTTCACTTCACAAAACATTAATTGATGCACTGCAGTCGCAAAGTCGTTATAACGAGAAAACAACTCTCGTTATGTCGATATAACGAGAAAATAAGTCGTTATAACGAGAAAACAACTCTCGTTATGTCGATATAACGAGAAAATAAGTCGTTATAACGAGAAAACAAGAAGGAAAAAAAAAATTATGCATGGCCGCTTAGAACTTCCGTAGCCTGAGGGAGAGTATGCAAATGTAAATTTTTTTGGGTGAACTATTCCTTTAAAATGATAAGTCCCCTTCAATTTTGTTTCATGGTCCCTGTAGGAAGATCATCAACTCTTGAGTCAAACTGCAGGTGATCATCAAATTTCGTCCAATTCCCAATCCCACACCTTGGAGATAGAGATACCTCTCGGCAGTGATGACAGAGAGGTCAAAGGTCAGAGTACGGGGCTGACGCCCCAATCTGGGGCTGTGCAGCAGGTCACAATGGAGCACAATGGGAAGGGTGAGAACGTCAGCAATACTGTTGGTGAGTCCTGTAAATGTCTTTGTTGAATTTGCATTGTATTGCATTTGAATTTGAACTTACTGTACATGATCTTTGTCAAAGATTTAAAGGAACAAAAATTTTGTCTCGATTAAAACCCTCATCCGTCCCTTGGGTCATTTTGACCCAAACATTTTTAAAGATTTAAAAAAATCGAGCAGCATGGAATTTACTAAAAAACTGCTGATTTTTTTTATTTAATTTTGTCACACTTGATCATGGAGCACACACAAAAAAAATGTAGTCTATACGAGGATTCTATGTGTAATAAAATAAGGTGTAATAAAAAAAGTAACAAAAGTGTCCCTCGCGGGTCATTTTGACCCGGCCCTAAGAATGAATGGAATGGAAAAAAACAGCATTTTTTTTATTTATTCGATTTTTTTTACTATATAAAATCTTACACAATCCAGAAAAGTTGCATACCCAAACAAAGGGCTGAGACTGCAGAATGTCCCCAATGCACAAAAAAACTCACATACCCACACACGGCACACACTCTCCCATTGAAACACATTATAGCATTTATGATATATCTGCTGGGAAATGACTGTCATTTTTAATTTATTTTTTACTTAAACACTTTGCTGAAGTAAAAGTATTTTCACACTCAAAGCACATGTACTCTCTCACACCAGTATGTATTTTCTGATGTTCTAGATGTGAACAACTCTTTCCAAACAAAGAACATGAATGTGGCCTCTCCTTTGTATGAACTCTCAGGTGTTTATTCAGGACTGAAGCTCTCAAAAATGTTTTGCTGCATTGATCACATGCGTACAGCTTCTCTATAATGTGGATGTTCATGTGATCCTTAAGGGTTGATGATTGTGTGAAACTCTTCCCACATTGATCACAAGAGAACGGCTTCTCTCCAGTATGCACTCTCATATGCTCTGTAAGGTTTCCTTTTATTGTGAAGCTCTTCCCGCACTGATCACATGTGTACGGTTTCTCTCCAGTGTGGATCCTCTCCACACACCCACACACACACACACACACACACACACACACACACACACACACACACACACACACAAGGCACACACACTCCCATTGAAACACATTATAGCATTTATGATGTTTCTGCTGGTCATTTAAAAATTTTTTTTGACTTAACAGTTAAATTTGAGTAATGGGGTGGAGACCAATGAGTTTATATCATATTTATACATTTATCTTTTATATTTATTACATATTTATGAATCTGTATTGACTATGCATGTGTTTGGATCAAAATTCAGTATCAATTTCATTTTACAAAATTTTTTTTTTACAAAATATAGTTTTTTTTAATGTTTTGAGATATATCTGAAAGCTTAATGAAGCCTCAAGTTGGTGTATTTTTAAAGATTTCACTTGTTTGGCTCATTTATGTTCCTATTATTACATATTATGCATGTTCCTGTGGTTCGGTGGTAGAGCATTGTGTTAGCAGCGCAAAAAGTTGTGGGTTCGATTCCCAGGGAACACAAATGCTGGTAAAAAAAACTTGCCGCCTGAATGCACTGTAAGTCGCTTTTAAGCGTCTGCTAAATGCATAAATTCGTATTATTAAATTAATTATTCATTATTATTTAAGAATCTCCATTCTATAGGCCCCTCTAGTGGCTGTAATCATAAAATGCAATTTTATGTCATTTTTCCCCACCAGATGGCATTAGAGACACTCGAGCCCCTTTCACACTGCACGTTGGTCCCGGCAAATTGCATGGGGTGGAGACCAATGAGTTTATATCATATTTATAAATTTATCTTTTATATTTATTACATATTTATGAATCTGTATTGACTATGCATGTGTTTGGATCAAAAATCAGTATCAATTTCATTTTAGTTTTTTTTTTACAAAATATAGTTTTTTTAATGTTTTGAGATATATCTGAAAGCTTAATGAAGCCTCAAGTTGGTGTAGTTTTAAGGATTTCACTTGTTTGGCTCATTTCAGAATCTCCATAGGATTCAATAGGCCCCTCTAGTGGCTGAAATCATAAAATGCAATTTTATGTAATTTTTCCCCACCAGATGGCATCAGAGACACTCTTATAAAGAATATCTCTTTGGATTTGAGACTTTAGTCTTTGTAACTTTACAGATCTTCTTTATGCACCAAGAGCTTGTAACACTTCAAAGAGAAAGGAAAAATTGAAATCACATCATATGACCCCTTTTTAAAGTATAAATATGCAGAAATTTTGTCTTTCTTTGTTTTTTTTTGGTGAAAAAATGTATAAAAATATGCTCATTTTCATAAAAATATCCAGAATTTAATGAATAAAAAAAAAATCACCAAAAATTAATAAAAAAAAAAACCTACATAAAAAAATTAGAAAAAAATGGACCAATATAAGCTTTCTGGACCAAAAATAAAATTAGTGTCATTTTTGGCCTTCGGGTCATTTTGACCCGTGAGGGACACTTTTGTTATAGGTTCGGGAGGGACGGATGAGGGTTAAACACAAAAAATATGTCGAAAAAGCAACACAAAAATGGGCCTGTACAACTTTTGCACTATATTTCAAGTGTTCTTGAACCATAAAATAGCTTTTTGTGAGTTAACTTCCCTTCTACTACAGCTCTTGAGTTTAATTTTAGTTTCTCACTCAGATCTGTTGTATGACTTCTGGATTATAGTTCATAAATCATATGGTCACTGCAGAAAGTGCTACTTTTCCTCAGTATTCTGTCTTGTTTTCCAGCACAGCACATTCTTAAACTAAGGTACATTTACTTGACATGAGATTCAATGTGAAAAATGAAGTGTGTACATACTGAAAACAGAAAAAAAAATCTGCCAATGGGATAAGAAAAATAAACACTATGAATCAAGTTTATATGTATGGGCCTATTGGCATATATTGTGCCTTGTTTTAAGAAAAACTCACTTCCTTTTGATAATTTTGTCACAAACCAGACTTAATATCTTAAGTTATTTTTGCATCTCAAGTAAATGTATGTTGGTTTAACAGTTTGTTTTTTTATTATTGCACTGGAAAACACAACAAAAATACCAGAGGTGGGTAGTAATGAAGTACATTTACTGTGTTTACTTGAGTAAATCTTAAAACAAATTTTACTTTTAAGAGTAGATTTAAAGCTGGGTACATTTACCTTAACTCCAGTACATTTCTAATGATAATACTGCACTTTTGCTTCGCTACCCTGTCAGTGACTGACTTTAGACCAGGTTTTAGTTGGTCAATGGCGCAGTATTTTTTTTGTGTGTGTTATTTAAAGAGCGCGCTAGTAATATGCGCCTATAGGCGGGCCACAACATGTGTACACTCTGCTTATTACCATAGACTGTATAAAAACATGGACGTAGTGTCCGTGACGTTACCCGTAGGTTTCTGAAGAGCGTTTTTGAAGCTCAAAGTTGGCGGAGCCGGCCATCGCCATCTTGGCAGCGTGTCACTCCCGGATAATCGAAAATGGGCAAAGAAGCGGGATGTGGGTGGAGCTGGTTGATGAAACCACACTCACCTAGCTCGACAGTGGTGACAGCAGTGGCAATCCACCTGCCACTCAAGTGGCCACGCCCTTAATTACGCAGAACTTTAATGGGGTGGTTGATTGCGATTTCACTTTTTTAACATTAGTTAGTGTGTAATGATGCTGTTTAAGCATAAACAATATCTGCAAAGTTAATGCTGAAAGTTCAATGCAAACGGAGATATAAAAGCTATGTCTTTTAAAATTCTGGCAGTTTAATGCCTACAAAAACGGCTGGTAGGGACTACAACAAATTAGTTCCCGGGTTCGTGACGTAACAAACCCAGATAAACCCTGCCCTCGGGAAAAGGCAGCAAAGGGGGCAGAGCCATGTTGCGTTTCTTTAGAGAAGAGGAAGAAAAAACTAAAGATGTACATAAAAATCTATTCATATATGAATCGCGATTCTGTCTTCTAAC